TCCTTTATCTTAAATGCAAAATGGTTATACTTTTTTTTTTTACAATTTCAATATAATTAATCAGTGTCTCTATATTACAGTTAATGATTAATCTATTAACAAATTGGGTGATTATTTGAATAAACGATTAATCACAATTAATCCAATTAATTGTTTCAGCCCTAGAAAAGACGTTAAAAACCCAGTTTTCAACGTCTTTTCGACAATCTGAAAATTACTACTTTTCACATTTACCTTTTTCTACACAAATGTAGAAGTTTTTTGGATGTAAATCATGTCGTCTTTTCGATGTCTTTTCAGACAATTTTTGCTCTGTGTTATGGCTTAGCACCAAAATATCATTATCGAATTATTTTCAGTGGATCAACCACCATGACCTCTCAGGGCTTCTAGCTCGTCTACTCTGCACACCCACAGAACCAAACAATGAGAAGAAGCTTTTATTTCTTACGCTCCAAAAATCTACCTTGAACTCCAAAAAGACTAAAAATGCTGAGAACCTAAATTCCTTTAAATCAAGATTTGAAATCCATTTTGGAGTTGCATTTTATTCTTCTATTTAACTGTTTACTAAAACATTATTAGTTATTGCCTGTAGTCCAGCTTTTATTCACCCACCTTTTCTATTTATTTATTTAATGTGTTTTTCATTTCTGTTTTATTTTTGTAATGTACTTTAAATTGGCTTATAGATGTGCAGTACAAATGAACTTTAGGGTCTCATACTAAAGAAGGCACCATTTTCCTTCCACTCTTATGCGCTACTTTGTGAGCATTTTTCACATAAAATCCTGATCAAATACTTTTATATTTTGTGCTGTATGGTAATAAAATGTAGAAAACATTCACTGTGTATGGATACTTTAGCAGGCCCTTGTAGATACGAGAAACAATAAGAGAAGAATGTATACCAGGAGTTCTGTGTTCCAGACAGAGGAAAAATCTTTTCTTATTTGATTTATTTAATGCAATAGCTGGAGCAGCCTTTCTGTATCTGGGCCACAAAAAGAAACAAAGCTCCGATACTGCAGACCCAGTGGGGGGAGGAGCAGCAAACCAAGTGATCGATGCACTTAGCAGATTGAGAACACAGAAACATTGCGGCTGTATCCGTTGCAAATCATCTTTTTATTTCTTCCTCTCATCCTTCCCCATCTCCTCTACACAATGATGATATCAAAACCTCCCCAAATAAGATCAGAGGCAGGCTGCAAGGTAGCGAAGTGGATTAAAAATGCATGAGGTACAAGCTCACAGACTGCAGAGCAGGTCAGCAGACTGGCTTTGATGTCATTATGGTCATTTTGTGTCTACTTTTAAATTCAGATTCAGAGCTGATTGTCTCAAAAGTGCTGCATGTGTAATTAAATACTGAAGCAACTGTCTTCAAACCTTTTCTCATGACAAAGGTGCTTTGACATCCAAACATTTCTCTGATCGTAAGATCTTTTTTTACTCAGTCTTTTGGTGTTTTCATGCCTGACATAGCAGAAGGAGATCAAAGATTTCTAAGTCATCTTCTGCTGCTGCTGGATCATCAGGAACGGTTTAAAATGTTAGGCAGCAACTTTTAAGTTAAAAAACTTGCAACATTTTTTGGGGGGAAAACTTGTGATATAGCTCTTTAAATCTAGAATTCTTTGCTTCCATCTCTTGAATATTGAAATAAATGTTAAATATCTTCTCCAGGAGTGGTCCTGAGAAACTAATCTAAGCATTTATACAAGGATGGACTATTGCATATTGCTACTATCAGGAAGTCCATAAACTACAGTTTAAAGCCTTCAGCTGATCCAAAAAAAAAAAAAAAAAAAAAGATAATATTTCTCCTTTATAACTTCTTTTCATTGGCTCCCTGGTCTATCCAGAAAATAATTTTAAATTCTCTCTATCACATAAACACATGGACAAGAAAACCCACAATGGTAACAGAAACAACTTGATGTTGCTAAACATTACCAAAGGGACATGTTCAATCCAAGTGTGTCCACTAGTTACTATCACAGGTGTTTACAATCTTGAAATTAGTGGGCCTATATACCGTATAGGGCAGCAGGTATTCACTGTGCTGTTCAGTGACATGGTGTGTACCACACTCAACATGGAACAAGGGAAGCGAAGGAAAGAGTAGTCATGGGAAATTAAAAAGAAACATTACAGACAAGCATGTTAAAGATAAAGGCAATAAGACCATCTCCAAGCAGCTTGATGTTCCTCTGACTACAGTTATACATATAATTCAGAAATTTAAAATCCATGGAACTGTAGCACAACCTCCCCTGGCCACAGGAAAGAAATGTATGAGAAAACAAGAGGCAGATAATAGGAATGATCACAAAAGGGCCCAGAAAATGTTCTGAAGAGATTAAAGGTGAATTTCAAACTCTTGTTCCATCTCTGAAGCACTTCAGTTCTTCGTCCTGTTTCTCTCTTAGACAGCTATGGGCTTAGCTTTTTTCTGTAATTAGTGTTTATCTTGTCTTTTATCCTTTTTGACATAAAAAATGACTCGGAGACAAAAAAAAACAGCAAAATATAATCTCATACTGACTGACAGTCACTGAGAGGTCTAATGTTGTTCCTTTTTTGCAGAGATGATGATGAAGGACTTTAACCATGGTGGGATGAAGCACTGGGTGAGAATCTTATGAAAGATGGTGGTTAAAAACCTAAGCTAGCTGGTCTGCAGTCCCTCAGCACCCTCCCTGTCACACTGCCACTAGCTATTTGAGGGTTCACTGGCTTCAGCATTCACCATACTTCCTGTAACTGTGCAGTGATGGTCTGGCTGTGAAGCAATGGCCGTTCCAGTAAGGACTCTGCTGGTGATTCAGCTTGAAATAGACAAAGAAGTGGTTCAACTCCTCTGCCAGAAAAGCCTTCCCAAAGATTTCACTTTTATTGCTGAATCTGAAGTTAGTGATGCAATAGAAACTGTGCCACACCTCTGCTAGTACAGTAGTTGGCTGTGGCCTCTCTTATTCCCCCTCTTCAAAGAGGCTTGGGCACAGCTGTGTATGTCCTGGTCTCCAGACCTCAACAGTTTCTCAGCCTTCTTGTTTATCCAGGGCTTCTGATTGTGAAATGTGCCTGTCCACTATGATTGTGTTGACATAAACATCAGATGCAACAAAGTGCTGGTGAGGTGAATACCCCGTGATGCCAGAAAAAAATACCAGTTGGTTACTATACAGTCCTGCAGCTTATGAGTAGTGCCCTCAGGAAATTGTATGCCAGAATAAGAACCAGCAACATGTGATCAGCTTAAATAGGACAGTGGATTGGCCTTGTATTAATGCTTGATGTTGAAGTAGGCTTTATGAAGAGTCTTAGCTCCCCTTGTGGGATGTTTAATGTACTGGTAAAATTTGGGGAGCACTACTTTCAAATCCACATGGTTAAGATCCTCTGCCTTCATGTGCACTGCTTCTGTTGTGTTTATGACTGAGAGCATTAACTAAGTGGCTAAGAGCTGTACAGGGATTAGCATCAGGTGGAATGTTTACAGCAGTTATGACAGTTACCAGTAACTTCCTCTTAAGGTCTCATGGGGCAGATACGACTGCTTGCATCTAAGGTTCATAAGTTCCAGGTCTGCTGAATAATGCTTGTTTATTTGCACACTAACTGTTCTTCACACTTACCGGAGCTGTGGATCTCGTTGCATCTATTCTGCTGTGCATCATACCAGCTTGATAGCTGTGTCTGGAATGGATGAGTAAGGCCAGCATAATGCAACAGTCATGTAGAAGTCTGCCTGATGCCAACGGAAGCTTCAGCTCATCTATATTATTTGTGAGGGGTCTGGCATTCGAGAGAAAAATGTGGGTAGCAGCAATTTGTGTGTCCCTCTCTGTAGCTGTACCAAGGTGCCAGCCAAGGATCCCTGATTTTGTTTCGTCTCATTTCGTCACTCTTTCCTTTGATGGTTGTATGTCCTGCGATATATTATGTATGTTTAAAAAGTTCATTATTATGCACTGTTCACTCTGTAAACCTATGTGTGAAAGATCTTGTTGGCTGTAGGTGTTCCTTGATATGTTTAGAAAAGTTATAAAAAAAACATTAAAAAAACATCTTAAAAAACGCCAAGACAAGAGGAGCTCTGAACCGCCCCATCTGTAAACACCACCGACCTTTAACCTTTAACGTGCCTTGAGATGATGTGATGTGAATTACCTTTAGACAAACAAAACAGCCTCTACTTTCAAGCAGATCAAAACTCTGAGGAAGGATAAAACTAAGTTTTTCATTTTCTTTAAAGGTAAAGTCTAACTTTCTGCTTAACACTCAAAGGTATTAGTGCCACCTGATACAAATAAGCAATAATATTATCTTTATACTATAAGCAATAATATTATCTTTATACATTTTCTTACATTAACAAAATCCCAAGTTCCTACAGCCTTTTGATATAAAAATAGAATGTAAATATTCTGAGTTCTCTGTCTCAGATGATCATTGTGTGAATACAAAATACTGAAGGTAAAAGTGGCTTTATGAGAAAAAATGTGTGGTTGAAATTTAGAAACCACAAAGAAAAAGGAAGAAGAAGAAGTGGAGGAAAGGATGGGAGCAGGATAGAAGGGAGGTTTGGCAAAAGGGCAGAAACTATAAAGGAAAATAAGGAATGGAAGAGAGAAGGGAAGAAGAACAAGGAAGGAGGGACACTAGTGGAAAAAATACGTAAGGCAGCTGTAGCAGGCAAGGTAGGAATGGAGCCCTGACCCAAAAAGGGAACGGACAGTAGATGAACGATGGGGCATAAGGGTGCAGAAGAAGAAAGTAAGGAAACAAGGAGGGGAATGCAGGGAGGGCAAAATAAATCATAGGTAGGAGACAAAGAAGGAAGAATAGACAGAAGAAAAAAAACAAAAAGAGAAAGAAGTAAAAGCACAAAAGCGTTAGCATGGAAAGAAGGAGAGGAAGGAAATTTAAGGAAATTAGACCAAAGTAGGTAAAGAGGGAAAGGGTAAACGAAACAAGTAAGTAAGCAAGGCTAAAAATAGAAAAGAAAAAAGTAGCACATAAAAATAGAAAGGTTCAATCCCAAACAGTCCCCTAAGCAATAACTCAACCCTCCGGTTGCGTTTTCCTGCGGAAGGTCCACCACATTGAGGGCCATCCCAAACCACGTAGTGGTTTACTGTAGGGTGAGTGGACCTTTCAGCCCGTAAGCGTAAGTTCCATCGGTTTGCTGCATCTTCATCACATTTATGAAAAATCCAAAGTTAGGCATAAAAAAAAAAATTGATTAATTCAAAAATGGAAGGCCCTCCTTAATTAAGTTGTATTTGAGCATAAACTTTTGTTTTAAGAAAGATATATATTATATATTTGACATATATATTAAGGTATATAGGAGATATTTTAATCTCACCCTGCACCACAGAGCTACAGCCACACACATGGGGTTATCAATGTATAGCCACAGCAACGACTGCTTTCTTTTTCCGTTGGAGAGACGAAGTCGTCCCATTCTCGTTTACACCCCCCACCTTTAATCAAGACGCCTTCCACAGCTGTGAGCGTGACTTTATTGCGAGTGAGACTTGATAGTGAAGGGTTAGTGCTTAGGGAGCAGTTTGGGATTCAGCCATAGTAAAGGAAAGTAATCAAAGAAGGAAGGAGGTGGGACCAAATAATGAAGTACACAAAGGAAAAACATAAGAGACCCTGTATGTGAGGATGGAAGGATGCCCGATTATAAAACAATGGGAGATAGAAAAGGATTGTTTTTTTTGTGCAGGAACAGGGAAGATGGATAGATCTAATTAACTTTGATAATGCAGAAGAACCCCAAACAGAAAGAGCTAAAATGGAAAAGATAAGTTAAAATGGTTCAGTTAAAGCTAATCCAAAGGAGAACATTTGCAATACTTTCAAAAGTATTATCCACACAGGCTATCAATCCAGTCCGACTGATTTTTAACTACTTGGAAATAAAGAATGAGCATAAAGTTTTGACCCTAGGATGTAAAAAGCTGGGGTTCTATAGCTGTTTTAAGCAACAGGTTGTAGATAAAAAAGCTGAATTTTATTTTATAGACCACTCCAGGTAATAGTGTGTTTTACCTTGGCAGTTGAGCAGGAAGTAACTCATGTTGTGACTGAAGGAGCCGCTGACGTAGCCACAGCTGTCGGCCAAGGCACAGGACAGGCAGCGTCGGTTAAATGATCCAAATGTGTCGGCGCTGAACAAAAATAAGGAAATCAATCCGTTGATGTTCAACTTTTTAAACACATCTTTTTTCTTAAGAGCAGCCATTACCTGTACAAGTGTCTCCTCTTCGGTCCGTCTTCAGTACTCAGGAAGTATCTGAGTTATTAGAGGAAAAGAACATGAAAACTCAGTAATAGGGAATAGGACATGTTCAGTATGGAAGAAAAAAAGCTACCTGGAACACAGCTGCTCACTGAAATAGATGCTTCAGGAATGAATAATAGTGAAAATAATAAAATGGGGCACATCTTCCCCCCAAAGGGTGAAGCTAGACTTTATTTTCGGAGGAAAGACTTTTCCAAACAAACTTTCCTCTTTGTGCAGAGCCTTGAAGTTATAGTGTTACTTTGAATGTTTATGTGTAGATACGCTTATGAAATCAGAGGCGGATCAATGATTCTTTATTTGAAAAAAAAAAGGATCTACTTATCAAAGTAGGATTAGAGTTCCACCAGAGACACAAAGCTCCGATACGCCCACATTTATGGTGCTTTGTTCTGTTCAGAATGATGATTGTCGTGGATTGAAGGAGGATTTGCAGTGACATTTTAACTAAGGCAGAAATGTCATGCATTTCCACAGTTATATCAAAAAGATGACTAGACAATGTGCATATTTTGTGTTGTTTAGCTCCTTAGTTTTTGGAGCCAGAAAAGCTGGTTGCTTTTTTAATTCATCGTTTAACTAATTAATTTACACTATGTTGTCTATGCTGATATTTTCAATTTCTTATTGAGGGGAAAATATTCTAGAGGTTTTAAATTTGGCAGTCCTAAAAAATGGCTTAACAACTCGCTGCATCAGTACAGTTCTAAAAAAGAAATCTCTGCTGTTCACTTATGAATGTGATCCAACCTCGATCTGAAAGCAGCTAAAAGTTGCAGGCTTTAGCCAATGCCTTCAGGCATATGTTGCAAAGTGAGATGTAGTAAAACCAATAAACAAAGTCCACTACTTTATAAAGCATAAAGCCCCAAGCAACTTTGTAGACAACTTCATAATTTGTCAGCATTCTATTCATATAACTTACCCCCAGAAACACAATAATATGTTTAATTCTCCTAGCTCAGAATACCTCTACTTCCTGTATTTTCATCCTTTAGCCAAGCCAATCTGGACTCTAAACAGGCTAAATGTTCTAGCGTAGATTTCAATTAGAGGTTTTAGCTTTTTCTGCGTGAAAACAAACAAAATCATCCTAAAAATGTTAAAGTTAAAGTCATCAAATAATCCAATTAGAGACGTCTAAACAGAGTGGGACAGAAAGGCACCCATGAGTGGAGACTTAAAGGTATAGTGCAGGATGTTCTTTTTCCGGGGTGGATCATCATCCTTCATGCTCGTCCCCATTTTCACTTACCGGTGATGAGTCTGACATAGTGGAAAAATGTGCAAATCTTCTCTTGGGAAGTACGCTTGTATGAACGATGCAAACAGCAACTTCTAAACAGAGTGTGCATGAGGAGAAATGGGCTTGTGCACGCTCTCGCACGTGTTTAATAGGCGGTCCCTATCAGGAGCGGGTACAGGGTTGCGCATGTGCATTTTTTTTAAGTGGAGAAAGCAGGTCTTTTTTTTTTTTAAATTTCCAAAAAACCTCCTCTATACCTTTAAGAAATGCTGTTGGATGAGCTATACCCCTAAAGTTACTTAAGAGCATCACATTTTGCTTTATAGGATAAACAGATCCTAGATATACAATCTTGAGGAAACACTCACAGCTTTGCTTTATTGATCAAATGTATCCTCTTTAGCTGTAATTGGGTGACTTTACTAACCAAAAAATGTGAAGCTACCAACAAGTAAGATTTTATTTTTATATAAACATTCATGACCAAAAAAAAACCAACAAAAAAATGACTTGGAGCTGTTTTTGTGAACTTACACCACTTGGCTGTCTTCATTGTAGGCCAGGACCTTGGTGACATCCCAGTCTCCAGATGTAATGGATTGCAGGGTGTCTATACTGGTGTTGGGCTTCAGGAACAGAAGAGAGAAAACAAAAAGCATTTTGTATTTAATTTTTAAATAAATACAAAGCCTAGGAAAAACTATAACCTTTAAACGGTTTGTTTTATGAATTGTATTCACTGATAATAATTAATGACAAACTAATACAAATACAAATGAAGCTGGTGAGATTTAATAGCCCACACAAAGTATTGCATATACAACAAATTACAATTATGATGACAAAAACACTTCTCGAAATCACATTAATGTATGTTTTTTAGTTGCTTTAGTAGAATGTCATAATTATCACAAATATACATACTGCTACGAAACATCAATGTGATCACTATCTGTACAATGTTTTACTTGGTGTATAGAGTTAATAAAATATATGTACTTTCTAATAATATGATGTACCTGGAAAGTTTTTTTAAATTCATGGGAGACGATATTATCATCTTAGATCATGAAGGATACGAAAAGGCTGAGGAGACACCAAAGCAATGAGATCATGAAATCACAAATGCCTTTCTATGCATTGCAGTTCTATGCTTTTGCTCAGGAACAACATTTTATTTTAGTTTTGTTTTTCCCCTCGGTATACGCAGGGGGAAAATACAGCAGCAGCCCTTCCTCCAGCTGTAACTAGCCCCGAGTGAGGAAACATTTAGCTCTTTTTCCGATCTACAGAATGGTTTTGGTTTGTTGGTTTAACTGGTTACCAACTCATCACATTCGCTAAACACCCACCACTGTATCTGAGAGCTTGTTTACACATGGCTGACACAAATATTTATGAATACCGACACAAAGATTTATGTCTATTTAATGGCATCCAAACCAGAAACCTTCATAATAAGAGGCTAATCCACACAAAGTGTTATAAAGGCAGTTAAACTTGCTTACATTATCTTCTCTGCTTCTTCTTTATGCTGGGTACATTATATGCTTGGGCTGTTATCTGTGATCTATGTGTAAATTAAAACATAATAAGTGACTATAGTGTTAAATTAGTGCTAGCTCGTATTAATTACATCTACCTGAATGGTGGTGTTATTAAGTTCTTTTTTTATGTGCTTAGGAATTGAAACATTTCTAATAAATGGTAATTGTTTGAAATATGAACTGATTATAATCTATTAACAAATGCCCATTGCTCTAATAACAGGATGATTTTCTTTTAGGTGATGTTCTAAAGTAAGGATGATATGGTAAAGCTGAAATCGGGACTTAGACTAAAATAAAAGGTTATCAATTGTTTTTCTCCACCAGTAGCTCAGAGTGGGTTTAATTTTAATCTTAGCAGAATGAAGCCATATCCTCCTTGTTTGCTGTGTGCACCACATGGTTTGTTCAAATTAAACTTTCATTAATTGAGCTTAAAACCTTCCTGCTATTTAATGGTGGTCAGGTTAAAGCAAAAGTAATGGCATACCAGTATTTATGCAAACCCTCCAGAGGATAAATTGGCCTCTAGTTGCTTTTTTTGATAAATATTATCCTCTTCTGGCCTCTGATCTCTAGGTAAGTCTGCTGGTGGAAGATCCTATTATCACGTTCAGATAATGCATTAAACAGAATGAGATGTTCAAAGCTTGAGTCTATAGTCTATAACTTAGCCCTGCTTTTAACTCCTCTGTGTGCTGCATGCTGTGTCCCTTGGTTTTCATGATGGTTTCTGTTCACTAGTGCTCCTTAACAAACCATTGGAGGAAATTTACAGAAAAGCTGCATTTTTGTAAAGGTATTTTTATGAATACAACTGCTTGTGGCAAAAACTAGAAAAATGATGCACTACTTTGCATTTGTTCATCGCATAAGATTCCAATAGATCACATTTAAGTTTTTGGTTATAATTTAGAAAAATGTAGAAATCTGCAGTAAATCACTTTTTGTTTGAAAAGTAAGCAATAAAAGGAAACAGGGACTTTATATTTAGACTGATTTCCTCTTTACCCGATTTTTCAAGTGAGATTGCTGAGCATCCTGGGTGGCAATATATCAATGTTCCCTCCTCAGATGCAGCCCCGAGCTTAACCACGAGGCAGACGACCAACGTCTAAAGCAGAGAAACTTCCACACTTTACTTTATTGCTCATTTAGGCGCTGCACAGCTGCTGTTTGTCTATTTCAGCTGAAAGCCTGAAGCACATTCATCTACCTGCTGGCAGCAGTTACTGCACATTGTGCCGCGCTGCAGAGATAAATCTGAGCATCCTTAAAATGTTCTGTGCCTTAATACGTTACTTGTTGAAAAATGTACCTCTGGATGGAGGAACAGGGAAGGAGGACTGGTTTATTACCCAGTTCAAGGTCTGATTTCAGCTTTTTTTTAACATGACTAGAAAAAAGGCTGCAATATCCATCTATTTTCTACAGCTCCTTTTCCTTGCAGGGTCAAGGGGGGCAGCTACCAACTCCAACAATAATTAGGAGAGAGGAGAGGTAAACTCAGGACAGGGCGACAGAGAGACGCACTGCAGAACTTACCACACAACCATTCACTTATTCCTATAAAAGGCAATGTAGTTAGACTGATGATTACCCTAACATTGCATATACTTTTGGAATGTGAGAAGAAGCCAGAGCACCTGGAGTAAGCACGCTCTGAGCAGAAAGATCGCAGGCAGGAATTAAATAACTTTCTTGGTATTGGGCCACAGTGGTAACTAGGGCGGAACAATTAACTGCATTTGCACTCTATTCTCTACTGTTTTTAAAAAGAAAAAGCCCCCTAAGTGGCCGTAAGATGCATAGAGTGGGTTTGCCACCATGCAGAAAGGAAGAGAGAGTTGCAGGTGGTATCCAGATCCATGTATGCAAGGGGTAAGCAGTTTTCAATGCAACAGCAAAGTCCCATCTTTGGACTCTGGAAAAAAAACAAACTGGAGTCTAATATGCATATACTTCCAGAGAAAAATGTCTAAATAAGGTTGCTTTGGCAATTTTGGGTGAAAACCAAAAAAAAAAGATTTTTGGCAAAAATGGCTTAACCACAGCTCTAACCATAGAGTCACCCTGCTGCTCAGAAAATGCACTGGTGTGTGCTGAAGTGGGATCTACAAAAACCTAAAACATAGCCTGAAGTTGATGGGGGTTTTTTTCTACCTGGTTTAAAAACTTAGCTTGCTGATAAAATTTGTATCAGCATTTCTTTTGATTTGAAGTGTTTCAGCGCATCATATAAGTAAATAAGTAAGTAAATAAAATGACTCTAAATGTTTGTGTTATCAGTGATGTATGGAGGAGATCTTATCAGAGCTGGAAGATTAATAATTTTATCTATTGATCAAATGTTTTGTTTAAAATGATTTAATTTTTGGAAAATCTGTTTTTTTTTTTTCTTACAAATTTCCCTGCACAGGCCACCATGGCTCATAGTGATATCAGTTAAGTTTTTGAGTCGTCTCGATTCTTAGATCTGTCCTTATAAATAATAAACTAGCTCCCTGTGTGAACCCACTAGCTGCAAACATTTAATAGGTTTATATTTAAACACGATTATTTCACAAGCTTGTTTCACTGTGGAATCTCTTTGCCCTTTATCTTACTGTCGCCTTCTAGAGGCGATGAATGAAATCTAAGCTACTTTTTGAAAGTAATATGATGCATTTATTATTTTTATTATGAAACTTAAGTAAGAAAAAAAAAAAACTGCATTTGCTTGGAAAAATTTAGGGAAAGGATTTCCAAGTCATATCTCCCAGTCCCAGTAATGTTAAACCATTCTATGAAAATAACTCAATGGAGTCTCTTAAAAGACTCACACCACAAGAACAGTGTGCTGGATAATCACACTAAAACAACTGTGATTAATCTATTATTGAAATAATTGTCAAGTAATTCATTAGCCTGAGTAAATAGACTCTAAAGGATTTAGTATCACAGGAACCCACCCAGAAAATTAATAAAACTAAAACAATATAGAAAATCTTTCTTAAGCTCTATCCAGGACCTATGAATTGCTATAGTTTTAGGCTTTCATTCTGTATAATTTGTTAATTATTCTTAAATTGTTAGTTTAAAGAAATATTAATTTAGCTCTACACTGTAATGTTGTTTAGTCAACCCGAACAGGCTTCTCTGCTGATGTTACAACTGTTTTTTCTTTAGCTGCAGATGTAGGCTTGCAATAAGTCTTCCGAGTTATACATATTGTGTTTTAGCCAATAAAACATTTACTTAAAAAAACAAAAGGAAATTAATTGCTAATTTGCATTCTGATTTATGCATCTTAAATACTCAAGCTTAGGTAGAAATATGAAAAATCTGCAAAATGAGACAATTACTGTTTAATTCCTACCTAACAGATGTCAGAATAGCAGATTATTAAAAATAATCATTAGCTGCAACTAGAGTGCAGAACTTTTTTTATTTAAAAACAGTGACTTTATTTTTATTATTATTATTAATTTACCATTCTGTTTTGTTCCTCCTAAGGTATCTATTCCTAACAATAGATTTCCAATATTTTTATATTACAACAACCTCTACGCATTTAATTTGATTGACCAACATAATATAGTAACCAACTGCAAGGAAAATGATGCAAAGTGTTCAACATTTCAATCAGCTTCTAACAGCGTGACAGAGCTCTTTATATCATCTGAAACGAAAAGAGGATGCAGACCTGCCAAAACATGGCAATCCACCTGAGTGAGACAAGGAGAGCATTGATCAGATCTGATAAGCCTATCACCATGGCAACCATCAACGCTCAGATGCACCCTCATGTTTATCAGTTTGCTTGAGGTGCAATAACAAACTGTGGTTCTCATCCCCTACACAGATGAAATTTCAGACTAAGGGTGTATTTGGAACAGAAACAACTTTTGGCTCATTCGATGAGTCTGGATAAAAAGCAGACTTTTTTATTTTCATTTACTGCTGTTTCCTTTTATTTTAACCTTTTTTAAAATCATTTAACTTGCAGAAGAAGCAAAAATTAGGATCGTCACTCTGATCATTGTCAAGACCATTACATCTGAGAGAAATGACTTGGATGGGAGAGAGCACACATGAAAGAGGAGAGGAAAATGGAGGCGGAAATTACATTTCCATCAATATCTAACTTGTTGCTCCGCCTTTTCAGAGGGCATCATTCATATAGCTTGTAAAAAGTTACAATAGTGGGTGGATCACTACTATTTGGAATACCAGAATGGGTTGGGAGATGCTGCACCGAAGGACAGAAAAAACACAAGTAAAAAGGATTTCAGAAGAATTGTGTAAAAATGTAGATTACCTAAAGAACTAACGTTTGCAGATTGCTAAGAGCCATGTAAGGGGCGCAGCAGACATATAGAAGAACGTCGCCATGGTTACATGATGAGACCCATATTGATTTTTTTGGGCTGCATGTCAAAATCTGCCCTCTCAAAATCACATCCCCACAGGAAAACACATCAGTGGCAGCATCATGCTCTGGGAATGCTTTTCTTCATCAACAAACAGGGGAGTTTGTTGAATGGATATGGAGATAAATGGAGCTAAATACAGGAAAAATACTGAAAAAACTAAACAAACAAAAAAAAAACCTTTCATCATGTGAATTGGATGGATGCTAACGATTCAGCAAAACAAAACAGAGCTACAGTGGCACGGCATTAATTACATTCATGTGTTAGAGTTACCAAGTGTAAATATTAGGGATGCACGATATAATCAGCCCCCTATCGGTATCGGCCTGTATCGGCCTTAAAACTGAATATCGGACATCGGCCACCCCACAAATATTTAACCCGATATTTTATCAGCTTCTGAGTTTCTAAAGTCTAAAAAAAAAAAATGACTACTTATTTTTGTCCTGCTTTAACATTAGTATCGATATCTACGGAGCCCCTCTGATGACATGGTCAAAAAAAAATGTTTATTGTGGCCATGAAGTAGTACTTCGTGGCCACGCAATAAGTTTAACGTGCGCACGATAAACTTATTGCATGGCCATTATCGGCTACATGAGTTTTAAAATATCGGCATATCGGATATCGGCCAAAATCCCAATATCGTGCATCCCTAGTAAATATAACTGAACCTATGGTTAACCTAAATATGATTGTTCATGGACACAACGAAGGGTGTTTCTATAGAGCTATGACTCAGCGGCACTGAAAAAAAATTAAAATAAAAATTCTGATTTTATATCTCTAAAAGAATCCTTTAAAATCAAAGTTGTTTGTAAAGTGAAAAAAATAGAAACTGTTAGGCAGTGTTTATACGGCGTCTATGTCAACATTGCCACTTCTGTTTATTGCTAGAATAACATCCTTTATTTAGAATACCTTTGTATTAACATTATAAGGAAGTATATTCCCAGTGTATTTTTCTAACCTGAGAGACGGACATGGAGATGTGGAAGAACTTCCCACGGCCCCCTTGGGGAATGGCGCGAGTGAAGAAGAGCTTGAGGCCGTCTTTAGAAAACAGAGGCTCCTCATTCTGAAGAGAAACAACTGATTTTTCATTTTTGTTACTTAAAAAAAACAGCAGAAAAAGACCACCAAAACCACAACAAACACAATGGCCAATTACGATTGATAAAAGACAGAAATAAAATTAACTGATTATGCTTAATTCAGTCTGTAATCGGGCAGAAAATGCAGAAAAAAGCTAATTTAACTCATTGAATCATTATTTTTACAACTTAATTCTTTTTACAGCTCATCAAAACCTCCAAACATCAGTTCAAAATGTGTTCAACACACTCACCTGCCTGTAGAGCCAGCCTTCGCTTTCATCTTCGTGTTTCTGGAAGAACAGATTGCCAGTTTTCAGTCGACACACGGAAAACAGCCTCAGGCACAAACAGCTCTCATAAGACACACGCTGGACCGTACCTTTGTGCAGACGCCCGTCGTGGCTTCACACAGCGTCAGCATGGAAATGTTCTGGGCTCTGTTCAGCCAGTTAATGGCCAGCTTGGTCGCGGTGGCCCACTTCACCATCGTCACGTAGTATTCACTGAAAAACACAGTCAACAGCTTCAAGCTGTGCTGTTTGAATACGCCATGAGTGGGTAAAAGCACTGAAACCCCCCATTAACCAACTGCAGATGGTAAAACTAAAATAGAATGGCAAATATAATAGAGAAAGATGTATA